TGTAACCAATCTACCCTAACATCGGAATATTTTGAATGTTTTTCATTCAGTTTAATGAGATAGTATCCTCGTTATTTGCCTAGTGAAAAGTCTTGTAATAATTTGTTGTTTTAAAAGTGTCCTAAAATGTCGAGAATTTCTTCGTGGATTATTAACTTTCCAGAGTTGGAAATCAATGGGGATAAAGTTTTTTGTAAAGCTTGTGCCAAAATAGTGGTTTGCGAAAATAAGTTCAAAGTGGTTCAACGCGTGAAAACATGATTGCATAAAGCCAAATTGCAAAAAATGAAATCACAACCGGTTCAACAATGCGTTGTGAGGTCATTTCAAAACGCCGACAAAACAAAAAGTGACAAAGAGGTATTTAATCAGGACTTGTGCAAAGCTCTTGTTGCGGTAAATATTCCATTAAAGAAGTTACAAAACCTACATCTAAGAGAATTTTTACAAAAATATTGCAATCAAACCATTCCTGACGAATCTACACTCAGAGAAAAAATGTACATGCTATATATATAAATGTAGGGCAAAACTCAAAAATATTTTATCCAAATATGGTCCACGTTACTTGTCTTCTGCATGGAATAAACTTAGTTGCAGAAACTGTGAGAACAGAATATCCCTTGGTTAACAAGCTAATTTCGAATGTGAAAAAAATATTTTTAAAAGCCCCTTTAAGAGTGCAGTTGTATAAAGAGAGAATGGTAGGGGTGTGTTTGCCCCCGGAACCCGTAATTACGCGATGGGGGACATGGATTAAAGCAGCTATATTCTATGCAGAAAATTTTGAAGCAATTAAGGATTTAATTTTTGATATAGAAGACAATTCACAATGTGTAGTGCAAAGTAAAGAATTGTTAAAAAATCCCCTTGTGCCTAAGCAACTTGTGTTTATAAAGGTTAATTTTAGTTTTTTACCTGATGTAATAACTTCATTGGAAAAGAAAAATTTAAGTTTAATCGAATCAACAAATTTTATTGCAACAGTTTCCGATAAATGTAACAATGTTTCTGGTGACATAGGCCTTAAGATTAGAAAAAAATTAAATACAACTTTATTAAAGAATGAAGGGTTCAATGAAATAGGGGAAGTGAAAAACATTTTTGAGGGAAAATTTTCCAAAGAAGTTTTACGTTGGCCCTGTACATTACTTCCAAAATTACGGTATTGTCCTATTACTTCGGTAGATGTTGAAAGGACCTTTTCTATATCAAAACATATTTTTACAGACAGAAGACAAAAATTTTTAATAGAAAATTTCGAAAAATATTTAATTATAAATTCCTATTACAATATCGCCTCTTTATTTGAGTCATCATTCGTTTCTTGCAACAATTTACACCAGTTTAAACCAGAAAATAGCACTTAACAAGGCGTTTTAGCCACTAATTTCGGTGAATTTAAAAAAATCATTAACAAGAGATTAAGAGCTTAAATTTGGGGATTATATTAAGAATAGTGGTGTTGAGGAATGCATTTATTTTCATTATGATATTTCAAAATTTAAAGCCCTTTGATTTTTTTTCTCGGAAACTGGAAGGAACTAAAATTTTAAAATATATGCATATTTTAGATATTATTGCCTAATATATTTTGCTTAAATTTTAATTTTTTTAAAAAATTACTTTTGAGATATCCTTGTCCGAAAATTATAAGGGGGTGCTGTAATCACCTTAATGTGAAACCCCCAATGCAAAAATGTATTGGTTTTTCCGATCTCATCCAAGAGATCAGCTCCAACATTGAATAATGGACAAAATGGAGAGATTAAAGTGTAAATATAATCCTGAACGAAGATTTTGTACAGGGTTTCCTCAACTTTATATTTATAATGATTTAGATTTTAGCCAGAATAAAGTGAAAGAATACTATGGATTAAGTAATAATAATAGTTTTTAATATTTTCAATACGGAAAGTAATACCATTATAATATAGGTAGCAATATACAAATTTTGAAAAAAAAAAGGTACGAAGTTCAATTTATATGACGATATACCTACGCCATGATCTTTCATTTAACCTTAAAACCTTAATATCGTACATGCATATACAGACTTATGTAATAAGGAAAAAGTAGAGAGAAAAACGTGTATTTTGATGACAAATTAAATTTTCCTTTAGCGGTCATCCATAAATTACGTCACACGTTAAGAGGGGGGAGGAGGTCGACGAAATGTGACATTGTGTAACAAGGGGTGGGAGGGGTCATCACATTTGTAAAAAAACTTTGTAAAAATAATACCGACTTAGCATCAGTTCTAAAACTTCGAGATACTGTTGGTCGGCGTAGAGTGGAAAAAAACCAATCCGGTATACTTGAAGTCATAAAGGATATTGCAGTTTTTGGTGGCGCAGCTGATGAACGACGTCGAACTGAAACCATAAGGTGCTGCAAAACATTGCACGATTTACAAGCCGAACTTTGTAAACGGGGATATAGCATCAATAGATCAAGGTTATACTTCAGACTTCTTCCGAGACGAGTCAATATAGAGGAAGGAACGAGACATTTGAAACATAAAGATGGCACATTCTGTACTGCTACGATAAGAAACCTTGAATCTTTAGCTTCAATTTTGGGCCCTAATCAAGTTTTCTTTTTATCAGTGGATGACAAAGCACGCATGCCTTTAGGTATTACAGCAGCAAATGCTCAAGCACCAATATTAATGCACCTTGATTATCGTGCAAAATTACCGGATCATGATTACAAACTTATTCCTTCTGTTTATGCAGGTATTGTAATAAAGACAGATGGTGAAGGGAAACCTGAAGCTGTGACATACTCTTGTCTACATAAATAGCAATTCGTAGTGGCAAGCATTCTTCCTCTAATGCAGAGACTCATGCCACGGACATACATAGACTTTCTAAAACACCTGCTTTCAAAAACTTTATGAGAACTCGAGAAGGTTTTGTAAAACCCGTATTTATTTTTACTTGCGATGGTGGTCGCGACGAAAATCCACGATACGAGCCAGTTATAGTTTCAGCTATACATTTTAAAATTTTTGACTTGAATGCTATTTACATTGCCACAAATGCTCCAGGAAGAAATGCTTTCAACAGAGTGGAACGACGAATGGCGCCTCTTAGTCGCGAACTTACTGGTGTTCTATTAAAACAAGACAATTTTGGTTTACATCTCGATTCCAGTAATCAAATTACGATCTTGGAGTTAGAAAAACGAAACTTTGAGAGTGCTGAATAATATTTGGAGCAAATTGGTCATTGCTGATTTTCCTGTGGTTGCCGAATACAGATACTAGATTGGATATTGAACAGGTTAAGGTATTGAAAAATGATGCGACTTGGTACGCAAATCACGTGCGCGAAACACAATATTTATTATAAATAGTAAATGCGAAGTTGTTCCTTGTTGTGGTGTGCGACGATCTAGCCTTTGGCGACTATTACGAGAGGGGTTTCTACCACCACCTGTTTTAGACGTCAAACGGGTATGTAACCATCAGGGCCGACTAGAGAAGGGGGGGTAGCCGGGACGAATTCCCGGGGCCCGGTAGCGCTGTAAGGGGGGCCCGACAACAGCATTTTTTGTTCTGCATGAGAAATTCGACACAAGATGAGAGTGGGAAGTTAAGTTTCGGCTGAGGACTTTTTTTTTGTAGAAGAAGAAGTAATTGAGGTAGGGAGAATAACTTTTTGATGCGAGGACTTTTTTTTAGAAGAAGAAGTAATTGAAATAGGGAGAATAGTTTTTTGTTTAGGAAAAATTCTATAATTCTATTTCAGTAGAAGAAGAACAGTTTTTGGTTCAAGATTTTTTATCACGGGGCCCGATCTAGGTAACCATAGAAAAAGACGACTCCTAAGGTAAATTTGTTACTTTACTTTGGATCTCCGAGCATCATCACAAAAAAATCAAAGCAAGATTTACTTCGGTCCAGATTGTAAAACGGGATACAAATCAGATGTAAAACTAAAGAAAACAAGAAGAAATCAATGCAATGTCTTTTTAAAGCTTCTAATGTAAGTAAAATAATGTATTTATTTCTAAGTATAATATTTATTGTAAATTAGTCACAACCCGTATCTTTAGTAGTTTATTTTATTACTATAATATAAAATGTTACAGTCATAGATCCTGACTTACAAACAATAATAATTATACATTAAAATTAACTTACAGAAAAGAAAATTTGTTCTTATAGAGTTTTATTGTTTAATGATGAGTTACTACTGTTATTTTTTTGTTGAACCCCAATTTTTTCATTGCAAATGTTTTTATAGGATTCTAAACGCTTAGAACAGTGGCAGCATACTCGTATATATCGTTCCTAGAGTCTCTTTTTACTGATGGTACTGTTAGCAAAATAAAAAGGGGAAGGCCGAAATTAAAGGATGAGGCAATACCATGTACATTCATAACCTCGCTTTTTGCTTGTATTATAACAATAAAAATATATAACATGTGTTTTATTTTGCTCTTAAAACTATATTTAGGTTTAATTCAAAAAAAATGTTGCCACAAAATGAACTAATTTGTATTTTATATAGATAGAATTAAATAATTTATCAGTTAAAACTTATTTAGAAATAAATACAACAGTATGTTATGTGCTTCATTTAGCAATAAACAAGTTTATTTTTATTATTTTCACAAAATTATGTAAAATTACCATAAGAAGCCATGCAATTTTAACAGCGTTAGCAGCACCACCTCAATTAGCGTTCGTTTTTTAGGACCGTATTTCGAGTATGCCGATTCGCCTCCTTATCTCTTATCTTCATAATCGTTACAACAAAATTCCATCAACACAATTGGTCAAAAGAATATGAGTATGATGAGCATGATTAACTGACAGATATATGTATGCATTGATAGAAGTATATTTCGAAGTTTTGGTAATTCATCTACTACAGCGACAATACAGCACTGTTGCATTGCGTTCAACGCCTTTTCGTCAAGTTTGATTTACAAAATTGGGCGGTAGATGACATTTCTCATAAATTACAAAGATTATATATTTGTCTTACCTGTTTGTGCATTTCCACATTAAGGCCATATGACATTTCGTAGTACTGAAACAAAAATTAAATATTAGTTTATTTATTAAAAAAAAAATCAGAACAAAAATTATTGTAATTGAGTAATTCAAAACTCAACATTATTTCTAAGCTAACAACTCATTTTGTGAATCCTCGAGCGTAAGAGTTTTTTTCCTTCAGCTTCAGCTGAATACAAAAGTGAGCACGCCGCCTTTTTTGCTCGCTCTTTGTAGCTGGGTGCAGTAGAGGAAAATAAACAAGTTGTACTATGTCCCGGTGGTGGAAGCGGTCATGAGACCTGTTGAATTCAAAGTAAAGTTGTCTATCTATGGATTTATGTTTTTTTGTTCGTAATGCAATATATAATTCCAGACGTCAATAAACATAAAAGACTGCCTTTGCGCCCGGGTTTGCTATTTCCGGGTAGAGATTTACTATTTTAAATAACTTTCGGGATATAGCTTAAAGGTTATTTTCCTAAATCAAAGATGATAAGACGGGTTTTTTTTTGTGTCGGCCAAATGGTTAATGTTTTTGCACCCTGGCAAAAAGTGGTCTGTTTTTTGAAACTGGTATAAAAAAGGTATAATTGCATTCAAAATGTTTGTATGACTCAACTAAAAGAATTGTCCTTGAGAGCATTCAGTAGATTTACCCTTAAAGTTTGACGACGAAAGTTTGAGGAAAATAAAATGCTGAATGCACAGAAAAAAAATATCATCTATATTCAAGAAAAGCTTTTCACTTGGAAGATTACATTTGTTTGAAATAAAGCAGAGTTTGCTTCAAATAATATTTCTCGATACAATAAGAAAATAAATGTTGAGTTAAGTATAGGCATAATCTTGTATTTTAAGATTTGTAATAATTAATCTGAGAATAAATTATTTCATTCGAGTCTAGAACTGTTAATTAATCCAAGAAAGCTCTTAAGTTTATTGTAAGTATAATATGCTCTTAAAATCGACTATCGCGTACTTGATTCAATGTTATAAAAGGATTCGATTCAAAACATTTAAATTTCAGAACAAGAATTAAACAATTCGAATCAAAAACATATGTACTTCACAAAAGATTAGCGAGTACAAATTCACTGCACGGTGTTGCTAGCAGAAACTTATTTTAAAATGCAACCACTGCACTGGTACGGTAAATATGACCGGTACATGTTGAGATGTGATACTTATTATTCAGGAGTCAGAGACACAATGCATTTATAGAGAATCTGGCAAATTGGCCTTAACACGTGTTCATCCTATTGTCCATTTTCTAAGAAGTTTGCATCGTATCATTAGGGTTGCGTTCTACTTTTTGTTAGAAATTCTTTGTGATTCAATTAATAGGTGTATGAATAAATTAAATTGAAATGGAAGATTTGTTAGATGGATGGGACCTCAACGACCTGATACCAATATTTAAATGTAAGTATATTTAGTTCACTTCTTGTTAGGTATTATATTATATATGAGTAAATTTATAATCATAAGAATACGAAACAAACTGGAATAGAAGTAAAAAAAATGTATGATGCTGGATGACGACTTTTTGGAAAGACGACTTCTGCCTTGATAAGACAAACGAGATGCTAAATGCCACTGGTAGCTCGCATGCTCGCTAAATGTGTCATCAAGATTGGCGCGGTTTTTAACTTGTCATTCTCTCCTTTGTCATTGAAGAGTGATAATTTTTGTTTATCAAAATGGAATGTTGTAATACTCCGTTTGTGAGAATTTTTTTTCTAAGAAGTCCAATTTAAATAGACATAGTCGAGAAGTACACGGTTTAGAAAGAGAAACAGGACTGCAATACCTAACTCATCCTATCAAAAAAGTGAAAGTTTAATACAGCAAGTTCACAATTACAGGATATTGTATTTGCAAATAAAAATGGTAAAAGTTTCCCTTTTATTCCATTATGATTTTTTAAGCACCAACATTTCAAAGCTGGAAAAGCAATTTTGAAATGATTAATATAAGTGTAATTAATATCTACACTATAGCTAAAACGTAGACGAGTACTGGAGGAAATGTTATTTATTATAACTACTATCTATCAAAAACAGGTAAAATGAATAATGTTTATTTAGTTGTTTAAAATATTTAATGCAAATTTAACAGGTAAGCAATGCTCAGAACTATGAAGTCGCTTGTTGAAAAGTCACGGAAGTTTTGTAAATTAGATGTTATTGCTTGTTGTTGCACAAGTCATATAAAGCTAAGAGATGATGGGAATCAGCTGTATATGTACCCTTTCAAAATATACATTATGGTCACAATCTAGATTTGCAACACTTTAGAATTTCAAAAGTGAATAAATAAAGGGTCTACGGTCTACTACCTAATAGCTTCAAAATTATTTGTGTTACAAGTGTATGCAAAATCAGGTAAAATAATGTTATTGGGTTTTATTGTAATAACATGTTTTTTTAATAATTTGACTATATTATTATACATAATATATATTTCCAATAGAAAACTTTGTTTTTATTGGTTATATAATTTTACTGGGTATAGTCACAAGTTTAAAATTAACATTCCAAATATGATTATGACTTATATCGAAACATTTGTATTGCCTAATTACATAAATATACCTAATGAAATTATATGACCGATAAAATTCATGGAAGTTTTTAAATGAAAATGTAGAGTTTTATAACTATTAGTCTGTCTCTAGGAACCATCTTTTATGAAAAATGTTTTAGTCTTTCTGTCTAGATACTTGGAAACTTGATGTTAAAAGAGATGAATATCTTTACTAAAAACAAGGATTGACAAAATGAGCTCATCTTATTTCGGTTAATGGATTATTTTGATAACATATATTTTTGTTAATTTATTAAATAGTCAAATAAAAATTAAATCAAAAAATTATTTGTTAAAGTAAATCAAACATTTGTTAAATTACAGAAATATGATTGTCTTCAAGAACAGCAGCAATAAAGGTCCCAATAAAAATATTCCCCGTTTTGATCATTTTTGCAATAATGTCTATACATCCATGATAACTCAAAAATTGATAAAGAGAATAACATCAAATTCTAAACTTAAGGTTTTTTTCATTCTGAAATGATTTGATTAAATTTTCCACATAGTTGGAGCATCTCAAGGGTACTTTATGGGGGTTGTTAACTACTTTTTTAGGTTTATTTCTTTTCAGATTGCAAAAGAAATGCTGGATAAAACATTTGTAATTACAAGCAATTTCAGTGTGGAACAATAGGACCTATGCTGTTTTTAGTGGACATGTGCTCGAAGCAAGCTGTGAGCCCCACACTAGATGCCAACCATAAGGGGAAGGTGTTCATAAGGAGAATTTCCACCACAATAATAAAAAAGAAAAAGTAAACGATTTTTCAAAAATCTGAACACCTATGTATTATGTAATAAGGTGGTATAATAATAGAAGTTTTAAAGTCCACAGAATCCTGACCTATATTATATTAAATGTTGGATTTGCAATTAGTATAGAAATATAGAATTTCGGTAGCTGGGATTATTTTGAATTATTTTAACCTATATTTATAATTATAATTAGCCATTGTTTTGACAATCATCGTAGGCATATATAGGTGGAGTAGATATACTTATCTATTATGAACAACTTATTTTTCATTTTATTTCAATAATGGCCTCATATATACAGTACTTTATTTATATTTATTTTTATTTTCAGTTATTGTATTATTATTTTTATATATCTACCTATCTGTGATATAGATATACAGGGTGTTAAAAAAAAGTGTCACAAAATGAAATGGTGAATAGTATGAACCAAAATAAGCAGAAGTCTTAATAAATATATGACCGCAAATTAACGGTTTCGGAGATACGGACCATTTTGTGTTTATAACAATTTTTTATTATTATAAAAAAACAATGATATTTATAAACAATCAATAACAACATAGAGTTAAATGAGATGTTCAAATACTGACGTAGGGCTTCCCTCGCATTGCCATTTGCACGACCGTACATAAAATGCATGTCAGCTAATTCAATATTAGTGTAAACAGGCATAACGAAAATTTATAAAATTATTCACCCACAACAAAATAATAACTGTAAATAGTATCTATGAAAAAACATCGGTAGACTCCGATAAGAAAAGCAAGTTTTTGAGAATGAAAAAAGATAATCAAAAAATGATACAAAACACAAAACACTCCGTATCTCTGAAACCATTCATTTGCGGACATATGTTTATTAAGACTTTCCTGCTTATTTTGGCCCATACTACCCCCCGTTTTATTTTGTGACACTTTTTTTTTAACACCCTGTATAAGATTATAAACTTCTTAAAAATATAGGTACACCATATTTTTGTGTTTTATTTATTTTCCTAAACAAACATTATGATCATTATTGGCCTTGTCGGATATTCACAAATCTGTAAAAATATTAAATTAAAATCACATTATTCGTTTTATTAAGAAAATAATTCGAAATACCAGTTATTTATATTAAAAACATTTTAATCACTTATTTTGAATGTTCTATTTACTGCATTAATAATTTTTAAAACGCCCTTCCATTATTTAAATATCAGTTATATACATTAAAAAACTATTTAAACACCTATTTTTAATATCATTACTCACTGTAAGTTTTTAAAAACCCCTTCATTTTTGTATCTGACAATAATTAGTGAAATACGTAGAAAGATTGCTTTTGCATGTTTTTAAACTTTGCCGCGCATATTTACATCATTCTTATGACAATTTAGCGAGCATGCGCATTATATGGAGCCACCAGTGGCATTTAGCATCTCGTTAAGACAAGAGGTCGTATCTACGAAAATTCCGATTTCAAGATTCTTACAAATTTAATTAGCTTACATTTTATTTTATTATGACACAAAATAATAAAGGCCTATTTGCATTAGAAAATATTTACTATAATTATAAGAAAAGGTTAGTAAAATATGTAAAAATTATTTGCAAAGTCAAAAAGGACGTAATTATCTACCTACCCCCATTTACTAAAAATATTCATTTTGTATATACGCCCTCTTATCTTAGCAGGACAAGCTTT